AGCAGTGAGCTCCGCTGACAAATTACTGCATGTCTTGAGTCGTCTCATCCTATCGACCTTTGACCTCATCGCATCTATACCTGTCACTGCGGCTTTTTCGCTCTTTTTTTTTCCTTTTTCGCCGCAACCAATGAGCCAACTGAAGCTGGATGACTGCGTTTGGCGTGTGCGGCTCCGTTGTGTTGCTTAAAATACTCGCCGGCGATGACTGAGCGAACAAGCAGTTTTGGAGGCGCAAAACATGTGGAATTACAGACCTTTAGGCACATTTGATCATTAAAAACAGTTCACGCAATGCTAAATAACTGGTTGATGACCACTTTAACGAATCATTGCATGCGGCCATGTTAATTTTACCTCTTAAATGGCTGCAGTTTCAACGGCGGTGTGTTGTATACGGCACCGTTTTTCTAAATGCTACATTCCCGGTTCACCTGACGGCTAATAGTGCGATCGCGCTTCGCACAGACCCGTGTTGGGCACATTAACTGTAGATGGTACGTTGCTGTGCGCTTTGAGATTTGATTTGTGCCTCTACCGTTCTGGCTGCGAAGATATGGTACAACACATGAAAAACCATAAAAAAACAGGACAAGTCCACCTTGAACGCTTTTGTCCACGTGCAACGTGACACCTGCAACAGAACATGTCGCACCACGTGATTTCCCGTTCATTTCCCTACCAAACCATTTCCCATTCAATTCTTTGCCACTTTCTTATCGCTTCGAGCCCTAGCTACCAAGATGTTTCCACGTTTTCGAACAGCTGCTGATGAGTTTGTCGTGGGCTACATTTCATGCGGCCCCTGCAAAATCAATGGGGCTCAAGTGGTACTTCCGGCGCGTGCCATAATCGAACCATGGACAACAGCCGGTCGCGAACTAACTGTTAAAAGCTGCCTCGTGCACCCGCGCGTCGTGTCCAAAGTCAACCATTCAGCGACCCGTCGTCCGGCCCGAGCACGACGCAACGCTAAATGGGACATTCGGACAGACAGACAGACAAACGGACAGACAGACACACCTTAAGCAAATGTTTGTCATTTGCTTATGCTGACAAAGTCCATTTAAAGCCTAGTTTGGATTTGCCTGCGCACATTGCTGTCGCGAGGGGCGAAAAATTTCTGTTGCTCGGCAATCTCTGAGCAGGGCTGTAAAATACTACTGAGCAAAACTGGCGGTCAACAAATCTTATACGGCATTTCTTAACAGAATGACTTAGCATGTGATACCTAATTTTTGATTGTTGAATGAAAAATCCGTGCAGTTAGTCAAACACGATAGATACCGAGCTGTACAAGCACGCTTTATGATCACGTATTTCATGGCACGGTTGTATGGTCATGGTCGCTGTGGAGAACGGTTCTCATGCATGCCCATGTTACGAATTTAATTATTTGGTTCCCCGCTTTCACTGTAACCTAAGCGTATTGAAATGCCCAAATATTTTGCAGCGAAACATGCACCAATGAACAGTGGACGTAGCAATTTCGATTCACAAGGATTCAACTTACTTGTTAAAGAAGTCCAGTCAGCAAACACGAGGAAAACGACCTGTTGGGCCGTTGACAAGTGGAGACAATGGGTGGCACGGCGGGAAGTGGACAACTTTGCCGAAAAATTGTCTAAAATTTGTTGTTGCTAGTCCCATGCTGCACTTTGCCCGTGGATCAGAGCCAATGTCCCATGACGCGCTTAGTAACTGTGCATTCCATCGAAGCATCTAAGTTTGTGGTGATTTTGACCGAAAAAATCCGGCAGACATCATCAGACTCAAGACCCTATCCAAAAATATGCAATTCGCACTGCACTACAACTGCAACGGTGAATCAGCGGTCACGACCCATGCCCGTCAACAAGATGGACCGAAAGCACAAAAACTGTATGACACTACGCTGTATAAGCGCAAAACGGCGGGCGGTGTCCGACGTTCATGATGCGGGAACCAACGACACGGAGAAGATATTGTTATGACGGATCTCACTATTAAATTCAATTGAGAGGGAGTAAGTTTGTATGCATCTCATTTCGACAAAGCACTCCAAACGTTTTCCATGCATCTTTGAATCATTCAGGCTCCCAAAGACAGTTTTATAGAGGGGAGCCATGCTGGACACTATATATTTATTATAATAAATTCAATCGCACCGCCTTGTCACGACAGTCGATGCTGTTTGGTTCGCTTCCCACAAGGGGGTTTCAGTCCAATGCTCTCACAGGTTTGTTAAGATAGCATCCTTAATTTATTCAGTCTTTAATTTAAAACAGTACTGGCGGCTGAAAGTGGCCGAGTAATATCTAGCGTTTCGACGATGCCAGGCAATAATTGCATATTCTTTGGAAAAAACCAATAATTTGTTTATAATAGAAAACAAATTCTAAGACATTTTGGACTTCCTCACTACAATTCACTACAATTTGTAGTTGTTGAAACTCATTCACATGCATACTAATGCAATGACAAGTTTGATGAAAGACACGAAGACCTGGTGCATGCTTTGAACACGGTCCTGATATGAAAAAAGCAAATACAAATTCGACTCTCTATTCTTGCCCCGCGAGGAGGGCCTTAAAGGCTTTCATAAGGACTTTTTCCGGAATGACTTCGGAACAGCTTAATGTCCGGTGCTGAAATTTTGTCTATTTCGATTTGCGTAACTTGTAGACATGTTGATAAACTTAGAGGCTTTGACTTGAACGGTTCATTATTAACGGCTTTTTCTAGGTCATGTTATTGACATCATGCTTAAAAGTGGCAGGAAACGTCTTTCTCTCGCCGGAAATGCACTCAAACGATTTTTTTAAACAGCTGCTCTTAACTCTACCGCTATGAAGTACATTTTCGTCTTTCTGTCTGCTTAAGTGTGCTTGAATCCTTTAAGTTCAAGCTTGGTCAAACTGTGACCGTTGTAAAAAATACTTTCTAATTGTTATACTACGTCAACCTCAATGGCAAGCCTTACAGCTTCGCAAGGCTTTCCAACGCTGTTTTCCCAATGGTGGGACATGTTTTTATCGTGTGCTATTCGTTCTCCATACTCCGACTGGAGGACCGCACTTCGCGGCCGCTTCGCAGGTAGATGCCATCCTTATAACAGGCAATTCAGACGTGAAGCACATCGGAAACATCCCTGATAGTCGTTAGGGAGGTTACCTCTCGAGGTCTACATTTTCAGTCAGCATTTTTTTTTTGCATGGCTTTGGCTGACGACACAGCCATTTTGCAGCTGAATGATATTGTTTAACTGATAGACACTGAAAATGTTAACGTAATCAGGGACGTCCCTGATTGTCAGCAGGGACGTCTCTGCCGATGTGCACATGTTCATTGCCTACCAGATTAATAATATATCAACCTGCAGAGCAGCTATGCAATGCGGTCCTTCGCAGCTGGAGCGTGAAAAAAACGGCACACGGTGTATTTCATTTGCGGCTATAAATCCAGATCATTGAAAGATCTGTTAAACTCTCGATGTTGCCGGGACAGCTAATGCAACAATATAAGTACTTTGACTTTCCATGCTGTTTCACGCGTCACATCTGTTGCTGTACGCTAGGGTTCATTTGAAAAAGCTTTTAAAGAATTGTTCAATGCCCGTTTCTGCATCGTTATGACATGCTTGGTCTGCGAGATAACAGGTGGGCCTATGAAATCCGAACTTGACCCCCATGACCTGAACAACTTGTTGAGGGCTTATTCCCCATTGCTCAGACGCCCCTATCTGATACAGCTCGGCGAAAGCTTTCCAAAGCCATTTTTCTGTGACTTTGGCTTGCTGAAAGAAGTATTTTCATTTGCGATTTGTGAAATCTTGGCAGGCCTCTTAAACTCTCGTCGCAGAGCAAAGGTAAAAAACCACGCAAGGCTAATAGTTATCATTGAAACCCATTGAGACGGATGACATGAAGATCAAACGTCAATTGGGTAGCAGCAAGCGACTGATACACTACAGACCAGTACAAAAATATGACCATCGCAGCATTCCATGCCGATAGTTTTGCTCTACGCGTGTTGAATTATTAGACAGGTATCTTTAATTGCATATTACACTAACGTATCTGACTTTTGAGTTGGTGGGATTAATCAACATTGTCTAGCAGCCTGATACAGACGGGAATGCTGCTGTTTTCTCACGGCATTTGTATTCCGAACAGATCATTTTATTTTGAGGCAATTAGCTCGTTGGAGATCAGTGTAGTGAGTGGGCTCTGCGGCGTCCCAAAATCTGTATTAACTACAATGATGAAATTCTGCAAGACACAGACATGAGAAATGTAAGCATTTAAATCTCCGCCTATCAAAGAGCGCCTGTGTATCTGATTATTTACAAAGCACGGCATCCGCGGCTGCCACATTGCCTGGACCGACTGTTTAGACCCAGAACCCAAGCCTGAGCAAGTGTGCAGTCTCAATGTTTATAAAGGCCGGTAGCAATGAGTCGGCTCAACTACGCGCTCGATGGTGGTAGAAGACAGAAGCTATTCCAAACCAGCCGTGACTGTTAATCGCAGAATGACAGTCAGAAGCTATGTGTGCAAATGCAGCGAGCCAACGTCTAAGAGTTTTAGTGTCTTTGGCATCCCATGTAAATGCGGCATTAGCTGACTTAAAAAAGCCTACTGTTTTAATGACGAAGGGTGGTCTCCACTCAGTCTCACCACTTCCATGCGCTGAGCGCATCCCAACTTCTTCCTATGGTCACGCCGGTCGCGACGCGACGAGCTCTCGTGCATCCCCCGTCCGACACGTGACGTCCACGACCACACCTCCACCGGCACCGCGGCACCCTTGCCGCCCCGTACCACACCCCCCCGCGTCACCGGCGCCTCGGGGCGAGCCCATGAGCGGCACGGCCCGTCCGTGGCCGGCCATTACAGATCGTTAGGGGACGCGGCGGCGGACGGATGGGCCTGCGGTGTCCGCGGCGTTGTTTGCTCGCGGCGCGGCGCGTCGGGCGCCGCCTGCCGACCGGCCACGCACGGCGCTGTCACCGCCGGCGACGCACAGTCGCCGCCCGCCCAGTGGGACCACCGGCGGCGCCGGCCGCCTTCTCCGTGGACGCCGCCAGACGGAGCTTGGTGTCAGGTGGGTCAGCGCAGGGCAGCGGCCGGTCAGCGCAGGGCAGGGGCCGGTCAGCGCAGGGCAGGGGCCGGTCAGCGCAGGGCAGCGGCCGATCAGTGCAGGGTAGCGGCCGATCAGTGCAGGGCAGCGGCCAATCAGTGCAGGGTAGCGGCCGGTCATTGGCGATGAGGGCTATTGGGTAGGAACCATGCGCCGTCAGGTGCACGGTATTCGCCGACTTCGAACGTCCTTTCGCGAGGAGCCACGACGGAGCGATTACGCATAATTTGACGAAACGTGCTCTCGACAGGGCCTTATCTTGACGCTTCTTGATTTGTCACCAGCCAAGAATGTTTTAAAACAATGAGATATTATTCCTATTCGGATATGGAAGCACAGTATCTGAATGACGAAATAACTTAATGATATGATGTGGTACGCATATTTATTAGCCATTTGCAACAAGCCTTTTAGATAGAAAATTCCTTTGAAAAAACATTTTATTGTATATATATACACACACACACACACACACATATATATATATATATATATATATATATATATATACATATATATTGCGAGAAAGCATATGCTACCTGTATGATGAATCAATCAATACTACAACGTATGTATGTTTTCATTATGAGTTAGAAGTTACCAGGCGGATTGTAATCGGCATTCGATATGCGAGAGGCTACTAGCTGAACGACTATGTCAGGAAAATATTGGCTGTATTCGATTAAGCATGAAGCTGAGACTTGGGATCATGGCTGATGTGACCCCAGGTAAAGCGCTTTCCTGCATCGGTAAGACAGCACGTCCCTTACAAACCAGATATAGAGGCATCTCCGAGACGCCAAAATAAAACTTTTGTAACTCTACTCGATAATTACATTCCACAAAACGGTCCAAAGGAATCTATGGCATCGGAAAAAATCATCGTCAAAACTTGACGCAGTTGCAAAGATACAGCTGTGCCAAAAGGGCTGAATCAATGGTCGTTCGTCACCAAAAATCAGACCTGACCACCTGTATATCGTCGTTACAGCCTGTGCCACCCAGTCCCCATTAGTGTCCACAGTTTGTGCTATACTCGCAGCGCATGTAGCCCGCCTATATACTCGTCACAAACCATTTGCCATCGTTTGTGTACCGTTCTTGTAGCGTAAGCACACATTGTTCACACCCGGTGCCTCTTTCCAATAAGATTGTCCTGGACCCTAAAAACACGTGATTTAAAATTGTATCACTTTGTGAGCTAATTTTTTGCTGTTGAAAACTGACGCAGTTAGAAAAGCTGGCACTTAAAAAGCCGTGAAGGCGAAACGTTTGTTCTGTTTTTGGATCGGCTTTAGCATACCATGAGACCACGAGACCGTGGTTATGGTACTTTTTATGGTCGTAGTTGGTTATATTGCCAAATTTCGACCTTTCATGACGCGCGCGTTGAGCCCAGTGAACAGTGTTTCTATTTGTGTATGTTTTTGGCAGCGTTTTTTCTTTGAGTGCTTCCACCGGCTCTATTGCTTTGGAGTGAACAAAGTTAAGCAAAATGTCTGCATTTATATCTAAGACACAGATTACAAAAATGCTCAGAAACTCTGTATATACTGCCATTAACAAGATCTCAAAATAATCAATCTTACGAGCTCTCTTATCCTAACATCCGATACGCGGTACCATGCTAAAAGCTGCACGAATCACACCCGGCTAAGCCGGAAGGTTGCGGTGACCAGTATTGAGTCGAAGGTTAGAAAATCTCTGACCACGAGCATCAGGCATCACGAACATGCTGGTTCATGCTGGAACATGAACAAGGATGCTGCTCGTGTATCTGAAGGATACCCGGAATTCAATGTACCCAAACTATTTGATATAAGAAATGCATGAACAGTTACGTATCAGAACAAGCTTTGTTCCATTTCTTAATCCAAACTAAAAGCTTTACGTGGCAGCAGTTGGTGCGCCAGAAACGTGGAATTGCGTAATTTGCGAAATATTTCCCGGTATGGAAAAGATGAAAGGAACCAAGGCGCTCTGAGAAAAAATTGCGGTCACATATGAATAACACACCTCTAGGTCATGCACCGCGTCTACCCTTCGACCGCTCATTATCTTATTCATAAACATAAGACACTATCTGCACTTTACAAGCACTCTGCTTCTCAATATGCTGCCGTTTATATTCTTAATTATCCCGATTTCTTATTTGTTGTATCGCGTAATGATATAGTTGCATGATGCAGCGCCCGTACCCAAGTTAAGCTATAACTCTTTGTGTTGGCGACATTACAAGATCGTTATCTGTTAGCCCTGGGGCGGGGTCGTTGGGGGGTTTGGATTAAGTCAAAAACAACAAAATGTAATCTTATTTATCGATAAGCGATAGTTTACCGATAAGTCGAACTTTATTCAACAACAAATATTTTATTAGTTTCATTATAGTGATAAAGTTATAACGGTATAAAATAACTCATGGGTTCAAATGAGGTTAAACTTTGCTATTGTAAATGGTACAATTTCCTATCATATCGTCATTCACTATTGCAAGCCAATATCATATTCCATTAAGGTGTTACAGGAAAAAATAATCAAACTTCTAGGTTATTCATAAAAACAAAATCAGCCCCAACCCAACCCAACCCCAACAAACCAATGCGCTTTAACCAATTTTTTGGCAAACCAGTCCATGGCACGTGGGTTGAAACGTTTTTTTTCAAAAGGGTCCTCCGCGTAGGGGATACGGAACTACAGTGAGTCACAGTATACACCGGCAATGAGTTACGTTTCATCTGAACGTACTCACCCCACGGTGAAACGGATGGCAAAGACTCTCAATTACCTATGAATGAGTGAGAGTTGAGCGGAAAATGCAGTAAAATAAACAAAGTCAGACCCTTGCTGAAAAGCTACATCATGTTCGCACAGTAGTTTTGAGCCTCATATATATATATATATATATATATATATATATATATATATATATGTGAGGCTACGACACCCAGGTCGAAAAGAAAAAAAATCGGAGTGTTACCTATTCCACAGCTGCTATTGCAGTACCAGCGTTTGAACCTTGGGGAAAGCCCGGTAATGATGTCTTTCAAAGGGATTGTTCCACATGTGTATGGGACTTTCAATAAAAATGGCCATTCGGTGCAGTTCACAGTGCTGCCCTTCTTGAGGCCCCAAGGCTTCCAGCTTCTGGGATACACGCTCGCGAATATGTGCAGATCATTTCAAGGCCATTCAGGCGTGCCTTACGACACAGCGACGTCGCTCAATCTTGCCACGTAATTGACGACGTGACGTTCCAGAACCCGAAGTACATTATCGTCGAACCGCTCAAATCTGACGTCACTGAGAATGACTCCCAAGCAAAGTGGACGTCAATCGCCTCTAAAGCGTTGACGGGACAAGCCGTGAGAACTTTGCTTTCAATAACGTTTTGTGCCATATCTTATACGAAGTTCGACATAGTTGGGAGATAAGGGAGATAAGATAGAAGGGATAAGAGATAAGATTTTAAGGGAGATAAGACTTGTAATCGAATAACTTGAGAATTGTGGTATCAACGGGTATGTGAAAAAGCTCTTAAAATCACGGATAAGTGCACAAGGACACCACAAAAATGGCCAGTGCACGGGCACATAACGGACTTTGGATCAGCGAACACTTCCAGCACCACACTGCCATTTCTCGGCGAGTTTGAGGTAATATAGGTGAGTGAAAGGATGGCAGTTTCGCACGGCCAGGTTGTAAGCACCTCAACGTCATACAAACGTTCCGTGACACAATCAAACAATGAGTATCGAGGAGCATATTAACAAAAGAAAGAAGTTGTGTTGTTAAGAGCACCATTTTCCGATTGAAAATATAGCAATAGTTATGTCAGCTTATTCTATCCTGTCTGACACTTGCTTCAACAGCTTCAAATGAGGGACACTCCCTTTAATTCCCATTATCTGCACAAGTGTAATCAGTGCAAGAATATGTGACGATTGCTTCCTCACCATGCCTCTCCTGGCCATAACACGGCTACCATGACGAAATACTTCCTCACCATGCTCTTCCGGCCATGACAAGGCTACCATGACGAAATACTTCCTCACCATGCCTCTTCCGGCCATGACAAGGCTACCATGACGAATACTTCCTCACCATGCCTCTTCCGGCCATAACACGGCTACCATGACGAAATACTTCCTCACCATGCCTCTTCCGGCCATAAACACGGCTACCATGACGAATACTTCCTCACCATGCCTCTTCCGGCCATGACACGGCTACCATGACGAAATACTTCCTCACCATGCCTCTTCCGGCCATGACACGGCTACCATGACGAAATCTTCCTCACCATGCCTCTTCCGGCCATGACAAGGCTACCATGACGAAATACTTCCTCACCATGCCTCTTCCGGCCATAACACGGCTACCATGACGAAATACTCCTCACCATGCCTCTTCCGGCCATAACACGGCTACCATGACGATATGCTTCCTCACCATGCCTCTTCCGGCCATAACACGGCTACCATGACGAAATACTTCCTCACCATGCCTCTTCCGGCCATAACACGGCTACCATGACGAAATACTTCCTCACCATGCCTCTTCCGGCCATGACACGGCTACCATGACGAAATACTTCCTCACCATGCCTCTTCCGGCCATGACACGGCTACCATGACGATACTTCCTCACCATGCCTCTTCCGGCCATGACATGGCTACCATGACGAAATACTTCCTCACCATGCCTCTTCCGGCCATGACAACGGCTACCATGACGAAATACTTCCTCACCATGCCTCTTCCGGCCATGACACGGCTACCATGGCGAAATACTTCCTCACCATGCCTCTTCCGGCCATAACACGGCTACCATGACGAAATACTTCCTCACCATGCCTCTTCCGGCCATGACACGGCTACATGACGAAATACTTCCTCACCATGCCTCTCCGGCCATGACACGGCTACCATGACGAAATACTTCCTCACCATGCCTCTTCCGGCCAT